TACTAAACTCTTTTAACTAAAGAGCCGCAGATTGCCGACCCCTGGCCTATGAGAAACAACGTAGACTTTAAAAAAAAAAAAAACAGCAATCTAAACGTCTACGTTTTATTTTTGGAAAATATTTCCAAAACTAATAATGGTCCCCATATTTTTCTTCAAAAATGTTTTAAATCATGTGCATTCGTACTACAATGCCAAAAATCTTCTACGATCAAAGTTACATTTTATTTTTTAATCATTCTAATAATCATAATAAACTCGCAATTCTCTACATTCTAATTCTCATTGAAAAATCTCACTGTTTATATTTTGAGAAAAAAAGAAAAATAAAAAAAAAACAAAAAAAAACAAAAAAACAAACACAAAAATCATTAGAACGATTTAAAAGATGTAATGGGCCTGTTCTTGGCGAGTGTGAGGAGCATAATACACTATTTACCTGTTAATTAAGACAAAACCTTAAGCAATATACGAAAAAAAAAGCTTCTGTTGTATTTTAGTTAAATGCACGTGTATTAAAAATTATATTTAAAAAAAAAATAAATAAAAAACATATGTATGAAAAATTGCAAGAAACAAATAAACAAAACAAAAAAATGCTAAAAAATAAAATGAAAAAAGACAAAAAAATAAAAAATATAACAAGCAAGCAAAATATAGAAAACATAAAAAAAAACTCTTTGTAAATATGTATCTACGGACTACAAAAAAAAAAAAAAAAAAAAACTAAAAAAGCTCTGACACGAATATATTAATAAAATAGTATTGTGACTTGAACTGTGAACAAAAAAAGAAAAAAAATACAAAAATATAATTGGAAGTAGAAAAAATTGAGCAATGAGATAAATAATTGAATTTCCCTATAAATTGATCATATTTTCAATTCCTTCAATAAATCCTCACTAAATATCCTATAATAATAATTTCTAATCATTTTATATGAGTCTCGTACAAAGTCGTAATATGATCATTCGTTCATTTTATTGGCTTTAATTAAACTTCATTGAATTCATAGCAGATGCGAATAACAAATGTATGATTATTAATAATACCAAAGTTTGACGCATTTAACGCATTTGTCGCATATTAAAATATCTTATTACGAATTGATAAAAATGATATTAGACAAATAACAAAAAAAAATATATATATATATAGTTGTTACTAATAATAGCAAATAAAAGCTACGAGATAGAAGTCTAGTCTTAGAAATCTATAAAATTTCTTGGAATAGCCTCGATAAACAACCTACTTGCATCTAACCGTAGGTCGTTTGATGTATCGTTTTTCCGCAAAACTATCGCATTACTTCTTATATATATCTGATTACCTACGAGCATATTAGCTCTACCCTCTCTTTTCTCAACTAGTTTTGTATGATATATACCATTGGAAGACTTATAAGGTGACTCTTGTTGACGGTAACTCTCTATCTGTGAGATTAGTTTATTCTAGAAAGGGAAGAAACGAACTAAAGATGGATAGATGGGTTGGAAAAATAGCTGCAGTTACTGGTGCAAGTGCAGGAATTGGTGCAGCCATTGCTCGACAATTGGTTAATAATGGTAAATCATATTTATATAATAATACAATTATTTAGAAAATAAATATGAAATTGAACGAAAAGAATTTGTACGATCAAAGATACAATTAGAAGAAAATATTTTACAGGTATGACGGTGGTTGGATTAGCCAGAAGAACTGACAAAATTGAAGAACTAGCTAATAGTTTGGAAGGAGCACCAGGAAAACTTCATGCAATTGAATGTGATGTAACTAAAGAAGAAAGTACAACACTTGCATTTTCTTGGATCGAAGAAAATTTAGGATCCCTTGATGTGATGATCAATAATGCTGGTATCGCTAAAGAATCTTCATTAACAGGTATAAAGTACTTGGATACATAATCAATCTACGAAGGTAACGAAAACATTTGAACTTCCATACGACAATTGCAAATTCTAGATGGGTCATTGGAAGATTGGAGAGCTGTTATTGACGTGAACGTCTTAGGAGTTTGTTTGACTATGCGAGAAGCTGTTAGATTGATGCGTAAAAAAGATGAGGAAGGTTTGATTATTAACATTGGTAGTTTGGCTGGAGAAAGGGTTCCTGCTGTTCCTGGTTTTGGTATTTATCCATCTTCTAAACGTGCATTAACTGCATTGTCTCAAACTCTTCGCAATGAACTAACTGGTTCGAAAATTCGGGTCACGGTAAAATTAATTACGATACTTGTAATCATTTAATTACAATCGATTTATAAATTATGTTTATTTTGAATAGAATATTAGTCCTGGTTTGGTAGCAACCGAATTATTGGCATCTTATCACGCATTTTCCGAAGAAGTTTTAGCTGCAATGCCAGCTTTGAAAAGTGAAGATATAGCTAATGCTGTTTCCTACGTTTTATCTACTCCATCTAATGTCGTGGTAAGATTATATTTTTGTTTAAGTAAACAACATAGTTAACTTAGCAAAAAANAAAAAAAAAAAAAAAATAACAAGTGGAATTCTCTACAGATTCAAGACATCGTTTTACGACCATTGGGTGAAACTTGGTGATTTTCTTTTCATTAAATTCGTTCGATAGTTCGATAGAATGCTGAAGTAATGCGTAACTTCAATATATTCAAAGTATATTATAAAAACACTAGTCTAGTTTTTTTCTTTTCTTTTTTTTTTTTTATAGATCGCTGTATTAATCTAATGCGATAATTTTGATTGAAATGAAATGTAATTTTAACCAAACGAGTAGTGTGATAAATAAAACATTTGTTCTCTACGATGATTTGTAAAGAATTATAATTATTTTATCTTATTTATTTATACAGGTTATGTTTGATATTGTTATTATAAAAATTTTCCACTTGTAAATCCTTCCCTTTACTCGTTAAAAAAAAAAAGCCTCCCTCGAATATTTCTGTTCTAAAACAAGCTTAGAATTCCAGGTTGTGAACAACGATGGAAACCTTTGAACTTTATTACATGAAGAAAGCTTTTGCTCCCCTAGAGAAACGTTTTACTAACCTAAGAAAAGAAGCTTTGAGAGTTAGTATAAATTATCGTGATCGATCTTTTGAATATCGTCAAACATGAATTGAATTTATTTACTTTAGTTGAAATATCTTTGGACGTATGAAAAACGACCAAACAGATGTCGTACTCGACAAGAACTTCAAACATGGTACAATGAAGTAGTTAATTGTATAGAAAATAATGAACAATTAACGGAAGCTTCTAAATTGATCACAAAAATGTTGAAACACGATCCTAAATCTTACAAGATTTATGCTTTGAGAGCTACAGTTTTTAAACTTCAAGGTAGGTTTCATCAAACGGATTAATAAACTAAATAAAAATACAAAGTGTTAACATTGAAATTTAAGGAAAAGTGACCGATGCCATAAAAAATTACGAGATTGCACGATTAATGTTAAAATTTGCAAAAATTTCCAACAAAACTGAAACCGATATGCTTTACATCGAATCGTTGATCGAATGTTACGAAATCAGAGGAGATTGTTTTAACAAAAATGGATTATTTTTACAAGCAGCGAAAGATTACGAACGTATCGTAACACTGAAGCCATCCGAAAGATCGATCATCGATATAGAAGTAACATTAAAGCTTTCTTACAAAAATGTATTTAACATTTGGATATTACAAAATTTACGAAAGTAATTAACTAAAATTGATTTTATTTACACGAGGATAAACTTTTACAAACGATGATGCATATAAACAAATACGATGCATTTTGTTCGTACTGGTACGAGTTTATAAAAAATACAAAGGCTAAGAGAATGTCTGATCTTTTGACCATTCATGCAAAATATAAATTTGATTTGAGAGATATCGATCTGACACGTGAATTTATTCTTGAAGCTCTCTCTTTGAATGAAGATAATGTTAAAGCTAAAAAACTATTACAGGTATTTCACGTTGTTTTGAAGAAGAAAAAAAATTGTAATACATAAAATTAGAGATTAATTTCTATTTGATTTCATAGAAAATGTACGAACTAGCACGAACAATGTCAATTCATTCGATAATTTGGTGCATGCACCGTTGTTACGATAAAGGTTTATACACAATTCAAAAGGTTTGCGATTACGATCCATCGAATCTTCAATATATTTTAATAAAAGCGATGATTCTACGATTATCTGGACGAATCAATGAAGCTTTATCGTGTTTAGGAAAAATGCAAAATATTTTAGAAACAAAGAAAACCGATGATTCTTTATTTAAAATTACGGATTCAACGAGTGCTCCTTTCTTTAGCGCGAAAGAGATTAAACAACAGATTAAAAAGCAATATTTATTAGCACGGTAACGTGAAGAAGAAATATTTTTAAATGAACAAAGAATAATACACATTAATTAATTAAAAAAAAGTAATGTTTGATAAATTATTTCAGATATAATGACGCGGTTCAATATAAAATCAAACAAAGAAGAAAGGCGAAGAGAAGGCGTTCAGAGAAATGAAAGAAAAAAAAAAAAGAAAATCAAATAAAATACAATTATTATTATAAATAAATGTTCTACGGGTTCAATGTTTTATGAAACCGATTGGAAATTGTTGATAACACGAATTTATTTCATTAAAATAAGAATTTATTTCTTGACCTTTTTTATCTAGAGTCCTAACTATTGCGGAAAGACATTATTATCATCTATTATCACGTTTGATTCACAACTCAACTCTCTACCCCGAAACATTCATCAAATATACATCATCAATCATTTTTTACAATTTGACAGAATTGTTTTGTTAAACGTTGAATCGTTGACTATCAAAGCTTACACGTTCGCTATGATGATTAGAGCTACGAAAATAACAAAAATACAATAAATAAACAAAGAAGAAAACGGTATCGGGTCTCGTGAAAAATATAGTGCAATTTTTCTACATAGCTGCATCATACAAAAAACAAGGATGTACATAACATTTACAGGAATGAAAAGATTGTGACGACCTTCTTAATCTTGGGCCACATTTTAAGACAATATAAAAGACGACGGATCGTTTCAGAAAACTACAGTTTATTTTCTTGACGAATTCTTACTGCTTGTAAGAAAGCAAACAACAAATTTATTTCATTTGAAAGAATCTAAGTTGTTCAATTTATTCAAAATGGAGTGGAGTGGATTAGACAAAGTAGCTGTTATCACTGGTGCCAGTTCTGGAATTGGTAAAGCCATTGCCGAATTACTCGTCTTGAAAGGTTTAAAAGTTATTGGACTTGCTCGTAATATCGATAAACTCGAAGTAAGTTTCATTTAAATTAGAAAAAAAAAAACAACAAAAAAAATAATATGAAAGAATTACATTTATATTTTATTCGTTTATTTTTTTTTTTTTCTAAGGCACTTGCTGAAGAATTGAAATCTAAACCAGGCAAATTTTTACCCTTACAATGCGATCTAACAAATCAGAGTGAAGTCTTGAAAGCGATAGAATGGATAGAAAAGGGTGTTGGTTTTGTTAACATTTTGATTAACAACGCAGCAATAAACATTGAAGCAGGTTTAACAAGTGGTGAAATAGAAGATTGGGAGAAAACATTAGACCTTAATATTCTTGGTCTAACATGCATTACGAAAGAAATTTTGAAACTGATGAAAAAGAAAGGTAAAAGATGAAGAAGAACCTTTTTTTTTTAACAAACAATTCAAAGTTACAAATTGATTGTACGTATTACTAAATTGTAGGTATTGACAATGGTTGCATTATAAACATAAATGATACATTGGGATTAAAGATTCCAGCAAATCCAGAACGACCAGCTTCTTCTGCTTACATTTGCAGTAAATTTGCACTAACAGCATTGTCTGAGTGTCTTCGTTTAGAACTAGCACAGCTAGAATCTAACATTAAAGTTATTGTAAGTATTGTCTTTAAATGAAATACGTGTGTAATATAATTAACGTTTGTAATTTTTCTAATTACAGTCTATTTCTCCTGGATTGGTTGAAACCGAAATGACTCAACAATGGTTAAAAGAAAATCCACGTTTAGCTTTGCAACCTAAAGATGTGGCCGAAGCTGTTCTTTACGCATTTCAAACACCTGACAACGTTCTTATCAAAGATCTTATTATTACACCCATTCGTGAAATTTAATTTCTACGAAGTAATGAACTTATCGTCGAGTAAAGATTATGTAGTAAAGATAAATCAAAAAAATTAATTTGAAACAATAAAGAAACTTTTTACAATTCATTTGATTATTTTTCATAAAATTCATCATGTGTCAGAAGGACCAACAAAAAGTTAATAATAATTTAAACATGTAAATATGAATTTAAATTGAATCTAGCACAGCCATTCGCCCGATAGTACTTGCGTTACATAATTTACAATTACATTTGGAATAGATCACAAGTAATATCGACCCAGGTCTCACCGCGAGAAGGTTGCTGTGTTCGGAGACCCACGGGCTAAGACTCTACTTCTATAATTATCTTTCTAACTATTAGTACATATTTCATTAGTCATTTGTTAGAAAGAAATTTCTAAAATTCAACCGCGCGGAAAAACGTGTCACCAAATTTTTTATCCAACTTATTATTTAAGTTAGATGAAAAATCATGTACATCGTTTTAAATCGACCTACCTACCCGATTTACAATCCTAAATTAACGCAAACATATAAAAGTTGTGACGTAGATT